ACATGGCCCCGTCCATTGGCCCCTCAATTCGACAAAGGCAGCCTGTACCTCCAGCAGAGAAACAGCCCCAAAGCATAATGTTTCCACCTCCGTGCTTCACTGTAGAGATGGTGTTCTTAGGGTCATAGTCAGCATTTTTCTTTCTCCAAACACGGCGAGTTGAGTTAATGCCAAAGAGCTCAATTTTGTTCTCATCTGACCACAACACTTTTTCCCAATCCTTCTCTGAATCATTTAGATGTTCACTGGCAAACTTCAGACGAGCCTGGACATGTGCCTTCTTGAGGAGAGGGACCTTGCGGGCACTGCAGGATTTCAATGCATGGCAGCATATTGTGTTACCAATTGTTTTTTTGGTGACTGTGGTCCCAACTGCCTTGAGATCATTGACAAGATCCTCACGTGTAGTTCTGGGCTGATCTCTCACTTTTCTCAAGATCATCCTTACCCCATGAGGGGAAATCTTGCATGGAGCTCCAGATTGATTGTTTGGTTGTTTTGTATTTTGTTTGCTGGCAATTGATGGTTGTTTTGTATTTCTTCCATTTGCGAATCATCAATCCAACAGTTGTCTCCTCATCATCTAGCTGCTTGCTGATGGTCTTGTTCTACTTTTTTCTTTCTGCACCCGGAACGCACTGGAACTGCAAACACTGATGTGAACTATGACATTGACAACCGTATCCCCTGCTTTCTGTGCATTATGGATGCAAAAAAAAATGCAACTGAAACGCATGGAGTGTGAACTGACCCTCACACTTGATTAGTAATTTAAATTGAACATATGCTCACCTTATTTACTAGCATTCACTTTTCTAGGTGAACAGCCTTTATTTCTGTTTTTAAATCACCCTGTAATCTGGTAAGTAATAGTGATGCTTACCTGTAAACTCATGGGAGTAGAACAGGTATCCTCTCTGATGAAGAACCAGTAGAGGTTGGTGAGCAGAGAGGGTCCAGGCAAATCGTCATACGTTTTAAACTTTCCGTCCTCCTCCGTTATCTCTGCGGTTACGGCTCTGCTCACGGCTCTATGCTGTGTCCCCCCTACTCCATTCACTGCTTTGTGCTGTGTCCCCCCTACTCCACTCACTGCTCTGCTTTGTGTCCCCCCTACTCCACTCACTGCTCTGCTTTCTGTCCCCCCTACTCCATTCACTGCTCTGTGCTGTGTCCCCCCTACTCCACTCACTGCTCTGTACTGTGTCCCCCCTACCCCGCATGGCTGCGGCAGCACAGCTCTAGACCAGGGAGCGATAATGCAACGTCTGAGCGAGGCTGATATCATGGCTGAGCTGCAGACCGTTATCACAGTTCAGGGATATAAAGGAAACAGCATTATGGGACTTCCCACTGTTGACATTCCGAGGGAAAGTATTACTGCAGCAGCCAATCAACGGGACCCATACATACTATATAAATACAGCACAAGGTTCATGTATCACAGATCAGCCCATAAACTTTCAGTGAAATGTAATGAAAGCATTCCAGGAATGAGATGTAAAGATCACACAATATAAATTGCACAGGAATGTGCTGTGCGTCTCTGTGCAATTCACATGCGGTGCAATTTCAAGCCCATTCATTTGAATGGGCTAAAAATCATGCCGCACTACACACACACACACACACACATATATATATATATATATATATACACAAATGTGTTTTTTATATATTACAAAATCTATGAAAAATATTTTTACAAATATTTTTTTTGAATATATATTATTTTTTTAACATATCAAAAATTTATTTTAACATAGCTTTTTACATAGACTTACAGTATATTTGAAATATATTTTTCATATATTTTGTGATAAAAATGCATTTCAACATACAGTATATATATATATATATATATATATATATACTGAAATATATTTTGAAATATATTGAATATAGCCAAAATTGTAGTAGCATATTTTTAAAATGTATTTCAAATATATTTTTCTTCCACATGGGTGAACTCTGCTGACTCTGATATAAGGAGGGATGCTGGGAAATCTGATGTAGGGGGGAGCTCTGGTGACCAGAGAACCTCTTTCATCAGAGTTCCCCTTTATACCAGAGTCTGCAGAGTGAATACACTAAGGTAAAGGGGTTCAACTTTTATATGAGTGTCCTTCCCTTACATCAGTGACCCCCCACAGAGTGACTGACTGCCCCACAAAATCTTTGTGGCCTGGAGCTGTCACACACTGACCACCTAATAGCACCCGCACACATCAGCACCTATGGCACATTTTATTGCATGCCGAACCACATGGAGCTGCACCACCACCAAAAAAAGGGTCAGGACTTCTTTCCCTGTGTTTCTCAGAGGTAGGGCCGACCATTAAACTGAATGGGCTGCCCTACCCACAATGCGTGCAGGCAAATGCACATGCACAGTCCTGAACCTAGCCTGTTACTGTCCCCAGCCCCCCTCCATTAATATCCTCATTGACCTGATTACTGTCATAAGCTCTCTGTTAATGTCCTCCACAACCCCATAACTGTCCTCAGCCCCCTCCATTAATGTCCTTAGCCCCCTCACTCCATTAATGACCTCAGCTCTCCCCATTAATGATCTCAGCCCCCCACCTCCATTAATGTCCTCAGTGTCGGTTATGTGTTATAGAAGACACTGGTAATGATAGCAGAATTCAGACTTTACTTGTGTGGCTTAAGTTACAAACATACAGAGCACATTTCAGCAGACTGAATACTTCCTGAAGATGATAGAGAAGAGGAAAGTATCAGCAAGTTTTACACATACACAACTAGTAACCTTTAGTGTACAGTGCCATCTACTGGTCAAGTGATATTAACACACAATACTATATAGTACATTATAGTACATGCTGTTGCATTCCCAACACTCAGCCCCTCTCCATTAATGTCCTCAGCCCCCTCTTCATTAATGTCTTTAGCCCCCCCCCATGAATGTTCTCAGCCCCCTCCCTTAATGTCCTTATCCCCCTCACTCCATTAATGACCTCAGCTCCCCCCATTAATGATCTCAGCCCCCCCCCCCTCCATTAATATCCTCAGCCCCCTCATCTTTAATCTCTTCAGTCCCCCCATAAATGTTCTCAGCCTCCTCTATGAATGTCCTCAGCCCCCCTCCATTACTTACCTTACTCCCCCCTCCATTAATGACCTCAACCCCCCTCTATTAATGTCTTCAACCCCCCTCAATTAATGACCTCAGCCCCCCCTCTCCATTAATGTCCTCAGGCCCCCTCCATTAATGTCCTCAGCTCCCTCTTCTTTAATGTCTTCAGCCCCCCAGAAATATTCTCAGCCCCCTCCATGAATGTCCTCAGCCCCCCTCCATTACTTACCTCATCCCCCCTCCATTAATGATCTCAACCCCCCCCCCTCTATTAATGTCTTCAGCCCCCCTCCATTAATGACCTCAGCCCCCTCCATTGATGAACTTGCCCCCCCACTATTAATGACCTCAACCTCCCCCTCTATTAATGTCTTCAGCCCCCTCCATTAATGACCTCAGCCCCCGCTTCAATAAAGACCCACACCCCAATCGCCCCCTCATTGCCCCCTCCTCCTGTCTTATCTTACAGAGTGTGGACGGCGGGAGGCACAGCACGTCTGAACAGAGGGCTGGACCGTACAAGCTGGTGATTGGTTACGTATGACACCCTGAAAAGTAGATTAGACTTGCCAAACTCCTTTTTCTTCAGATTCCTGCAGCTCAGACATGTTTTCCACTCATAACTTGGCTCTGCAGAGCTTCATCTGGAAATGGACGATGTGGACTCTATCCTTTGGGATGTAAACCACTTTCTAAGATTTATAAAGCATTATTGCCATCTATACATGTGGGGTGGGATGCACTGCAAACCTTGTGGCGAGCGGCAGAGCATGACTTGGATGGAGAGGATTGGGAGGATATGTGGGAATACCCCTTTCAACAACTGATAGCAACAAAAGATAGATGAATCCAGTTTAAGAGTCTTCACAGGATCTATGTTGCTCCGCAAAGGTTACACCGCATATACTCTACTATCCCTTCTAGATGTTGGAAGATCCTGCTGGATTTACTCATATATTTTAAGACTGCCCGTGGATTAGAACCGTTTGGCTGGACGTCACTCAGTTTATTTCTACCCTAGCAACTATCCTTTGACAGTGGGGGTATGCTTTTTGGGACTTGTGGAGCCACTGGCAGTTACCAGGGTGGTCCGCACTCTACTGGGTCTTCTGCTATTTCATTCCAGAAAAGGTGTTGCTCTGAAATGGAAATGGCACCGAGCCCCTACCTTGCCTTTTTTGGAAAAAATTGGCCAACTCAGTTGTCTACCTTTACAAATTGACCTACCTCTCTAGGGGTTGGCCCCAAAAGTTTGACAAAGTATGGAATCTTTGGTTGACCTCTTCCTCTACTCGCCGGACGATGGGGCTGGGTCCCTGGCCACTAATAAGGGAGTGGTTTGATGTTGAAGTTGCTAACACATCACTTTTGTGCGATTGATACTAATTGCCTCTTACATAAATCACAGGGATTATCTTCGCTACACATATCTCCCCTACGTTTTCGCATGTCCTAGGGGACACGGTCATCCCGTGTTTTTTATACTGATTATGGAATTGTGGACTACGTGTGGGTCTAAGTAGAAGAGATTGTTGGATTATTATTTTAGTTTTGTTTGGAGGTGTTATTTTGTGGGCAGGGGTATTCCCAAGGCCTTGTTTTTTACTTACTTTTTTCAAAACTTCAATAAACAGAAGTGAAAAAAAAAAAAAAAAAAGAAAGGGTTTCTGGTTTCCTTTATAGGGATGATATATTGTATTTTTAGTAAACACACATTCTGGATTATTGTAATGTTTATTACTAGGGAATTCCATATTTTTATCTGCTTGCTGTTCCATATTTTCAGGACTATATTACAGACGCAGGTTGTAGTTTTGCCCTCCTAGGAGCTGATTGTCAGAACAAATGTCGGGATTACAGGAGGAGTCGCCCTGAGGGTCAGTTGGTTTCAGTCAGAACATTAAGCAGATTTCCTCTCTAGGAACCTCAGGTTTATGGGTCGGTTTGCCGATAGGACGATACGTGCGATTGATTTGACTTCTCCGAGTTTGGGATCCGTTTAACCTCAAACATCCGGATAATCTGTAAAAGAGGGGACCAAGGGCTTAAAAAGGAGAGTCCAGCTCATCTCAGAATATCTTCAAATAATGTGATGTTCACCAAACCACAATTTTATAATTTTAGGCCCAACTCCATGATACCCCCCTCCTCCCCATTTTATATTTATATATATATATATTTTTTTTCCTTATACTTTCCTTTGTCTCAAGTTTTCAGGCCGGTTATATGATTCTCTGGGTCATCTTTGATCCTCTACTTGCGGTGGGTGGTCACACAGTGAGTGTGAGGGGAGTCCACTCACAGTATGTCCTCAGTCTCTACTGGGTTAATGACATGAGGACAGAGGACATCTAGTGACCAAATTGAATTACTGCAGAGACAGCACCCACTAGAGAGGAGGTGAGTGTTATTTTAAACCTCTATCTATCTATCTATCTATCTATCTATCTATCTATCAGGGGTGGACTGACAACTCATGGGGCCCCCGGGCAATAGGGTATCATGGGGCCCCTGTGTCCTTGCCCAAACTCAAAAAAGACTATGAAAAAGGTATCAGGGGCATCTCATGGGGCCCCCTACTGACCCCAGGCCCTCGGGCAGTGCCCAAGTTTCCAAGTGGTCAGTCCACCCCTGCTATCTATCTATCTATCTATCTATCTATCTATCTATCTATCCATTTCAGTTGTATCGGACCCTTGGCAATTGCATGGACCATCACTGGTAAGCAACTTTTTCCATGAATTCTCTTGGTAATTATTTTACAGGGTAGGTTGCCAGGTCTTTCCCTAACCCCTACCATGCAGGAGATCCCACATGGCCAGGGATGAAACTAGGACAATTTTTACAGGAGCCAATTAACCTACCAGCATTTCTTTGGAGGGTGGGAGGAAACCCACGTGAACACAGGGATAACGTGCATACTCCATGCAGGAGGCACCATGGTTGGGAATCAAACCTATGACTCAATTACTACAAGGCAGAAGTGCTAACCACTAAGCCACTGTGCCGCCTATTTTAAACCACTACTGGAAGGCAATTAAAAAAAACACAAAAAACAAACAACTGGGGCAGCTACGTACCCCTTACTCATTCACATGGTGGGGAGATATGTGGACACTCCCTTATGGTTAAAGGGGGCTTCCATATTCTGATAAGCTCTTCATCTGCAGACCTACACAACCAGCGGGCCAGGGTTGTGGGGGTTGGCCAGGGTTGTGGGAAAGAGGCCCTTGCCCTCATCAATATGCTATAACAAGGTACCCCCCCCCCCCATGTTGAGGTCATGTGACCTGGTATGGTTGAAGGAAGGGGGGCACATGCTCGCCCCCCCCCTTCCCTTTCCTGGCTTGGCAGTCTGGATGCTAGATATGGGCATGATGTGGATTTCTGGGGGGAAACATGTACGTGAATGGACTGGTGACTTCACTAGTTGACTCTGCAATACCTACACCCTTTTTTCAGAGAATAGGTGCAGGTACATCCCATTTCTGAGCCACCCCTTCTTTCTGCCCCCTACTGACCTCCAAGCACCATCCCTTGGTTCCATCCCTACCCACCTCCCAGTACTGCCTCTTTTAGAGATTACAGAGCCAAGTGTCATTTTGTGGTGTAATGTATGGCATTTGTATGGAATGTGTTAAAGATAACAAGAAAAGCATAAAATAGATCCCCTAGCCAGCAGAATAGACCCTCCAGCAACAATAGATCCTCTCAAAAACAATAGCTTTCCCCCAGCAATTATAGACTCCCCCAGAAACAATAGATACCCTGCAACAAAATACCCTCCAGCAACAATAGATCCTCACCAGCAACAAACGACCTCCACCAGCTTCAACAAACCCTCCAGCAGCCAGCAACAATAGATCCCTGCCTCAACAGTAGATCTTTCCCAGAAACAAATGACCCCCAAGCAACATAACCCACCCCCAGCAAAAAATAGACCCCCCTGCAGCAACAACAGACCTCCCCGGCACAATAGATCCCCTTCCCCCAGTGACAACAGACCCCCAGCAGCCAGCATAAATAGACCCTCCAGCACACCCCACCCCTCCTTCCCATTACATATATTTAGTGCTGGAGGTGCCGGAACAGCATTCCCTTGTGTTCCCGTGGGAAAAAAAGCCCTGCCTACACCTGCCACCATCTTTAACCACTGACTGCAGGAAGTTGCATGTACAATCACGTAACACCACGATTATACGAGACGGACAGGTAGGTGTTTGGGCATTTATCCGAACAACCAGGGTTAAATCCAAACTTTTTGGATTGAATCCTAAGGTCATCCCTACTCAGGATACTGTTGCAGGATGAGCCAATCACATCCCGACACCACAGGCTATCTTTCTTTCCACCCTGCATGGGGACTCACTTGGACTCTCCTTGCCACTCTCCTCCAAACTCTTTTAGATGATCCCTCTTGTAGACTTTTTGTTCATTTTTCAATAAATACACCACATGAGGCTCCTGCTCTCTAGTCTCTCTGCTCTCTCCCTCTGTGAAAATCCCTCTTTTGCTCCTTTATCTTCGCACGCTTACCCGTGAAAGTGCCAGATGCATCTCCAGCTCGGCGATCCTCTTGCCAACACAGGCTCGCACCCCATAGCCGAAAGGAATTGAACTGAATGGGTGGTGGGTCATCCCTTCTTCCCGCAGCCACCGCTGGGGATAAAACGCCTCCGGATTCGGGAAGTGGGCTTCATCTCTGGAGATGGCGTAATGGCAGAAGGCGAAGAGAGTCTGGAAGAAAAAAAAAGAGACCGCTATCTTGTCTTTCCTATAAAAAAAACCCAAAGAGACAACAGAAGCAGCTTCCACTGACCCCCGACTCATAGCTTCTTCTTCTCAGTCCACCAAGTGGACCTCCATCTTAGTTCTCCCATCAATGTGAGGATACTTTACAAATAATTAGACACGCAGCTTGTTGTGTTCTGAATCGAAATTCGGATACATTTTTTGTTATCCAGAAATTTACCTGTGATAACTCCGCCCCAAATTACATCACCAATCTTGTCTCCAAATATCACCCAAACCTTCCTCTAACCAAATGGTTAGCACTTCCACCTGGTAAAACTAGCGGTCGTTCCTTCAAATCCCAATCACAGCACCTCCTGCCTGGAGTTTGCATGTTCTCCCTGTGCCTGCGTGGGTTTTCTCTGGCTACTCCAGTTTCCTCCCACACTCCAAAGACATGCTGGTAGGTGAATGGGATCCTGTCTAAATTGTCCATAATATGTGTATGTATGAATGTGAGTTAGGGACCTTAGATTGTACGCCCCTTGAGGGTTAGGGACTGATGTGAATGTACAATATATATGTAAAGTGCTGCGTAAATAGAAGTACCTGAAATAAATAAATCACAAGACCACTGACCACTGAGTCCTTACAGCCACTCTGAGCAGGACTATCAGTCAACACTGTATTCTCTGTCCCCCCAGTGCTCACTGGAGTGCTGGGCTGTGGAGGAAGAGGGAGCTGCATGTTCAGGCTCTCAGCAGATCACTGAGAAGCTGAACCTGGTGCTGCTCCAGGGATCTAGGTGGATCTTGACTTTAAAGGCAGGATCTTTCCCCATCCTGGACCGGCTGAGTGACATCAGTCAACAACAGACTTTAGCCCCCTGTCGGCTGAAAATGGGTCACAGCTGTGCAGTTAATGTTGCACTCCTGTGATCCAGTGAGCTTTGGCTGTACTTCTCCTTTAAGACCCAAAGAGCATTAGAATAATGATCAGTGCATTGCAACAGGCTCCTGCATTGTCAATATCCCTGCCCAAGGTGCAAGGTACGAACTTTCTGCTGGAGGAAGTAAAATGTGGATAACGAGTGCACTTGTGCCAGCACAATCTACCAGTCCCTTGCCCCAGCGGTAGATGGGACTTGTAGTCTTCACATTCCCTGTGAATGAGTCTGTAAATGGATGGTGGATGTACGGGTGGAGCCATTCACAGCCATGCCAAATTCAACAAATTCAACAAACATCAGGATGCTCTAGAGCACAGGTGTCAAACTGGCAGCCCTCCAGCTGTTGCCAAACTACAAGTCCCATGAGGCATTGCAAGAATGACAGTTTCAAGCATGACTTCCAAAGGCAGAGGCATGATGGGACATGTAGTTTTGCAACAGCTGGAGGGCCACCAGTTTGACACCCCTGGTCTAGAGGGTGGGGTAGGAGAATGTGACCATTGTCCCAAGTTGGACTATGCCTTTAAATTCTAACTTCACATTGTTACCCTCCCCCTCTCCAGGTCCTGCAACCCTCCATGCACCAATTTTGTAAAATATTTTTTTTTGGCAGGCCTGTCTTAATTCCAAATGTCTTCTGGTTGGTCATTTGAGGAAAGAGGTCCTTTGTCCCCATTATCGGCAGTGTGGAGCTCATTTTATGATATGAGAACACCTGTTTATTTTGCATTCCATTGTGCATGTGATGTGCCACCTCCAGGGGGTGTGTCAATGACTGCCTGTGTAATAAGGAAGTGGATTGATCATGGGTGTCATAGAGCACAAATAAGGATTGGCAGACAGTGGTGGACGGCAGAGAGGAGTGTAAAGAGAGTAAATAATTTTTTTTCTCTTTTTTTTTTTTTAACAGGGTGGGATTTTCTTTAATTTAAAGTTCATTAAAAGTGGAGATGTCTTTTAAAGCACTGCTCCAGCCAATGACCCAAAGGCCACCATGCAATTAGCATTTTCAGCAATGGCGCCCCTGCTTCATTTCTCTTTTCTACAGATTTCCTTTAGTTTCTTTAACACTGTACAATGAGCCCACTGAATATGGCTGCGATGAATTATACAGAACTCAGGAAGTCCCTAACGTTCATGCAATCGCGGTGTGTTCCGGGTATCTACACCATCTATAGGATCACTTACCCTCTTGGGAAATTTGTAACCTTCAATCACCA